CCTCTGATACACTAATATTACTAGCACCCTTTTGTGGAATGCCTATGTGCAGAGGGCAAATATTTCATTCAATATCCATAATACACCTTTAAAGTAGATTTTATTGCAACTGTTTTATAGAGCAGGAAATGGAGGCTTAAGGTATTTACCAAGTACTTTATAACTAGGATGTAGAAGAGAGCTAGGATTCAAATTCAGATCTGTCTGACCCCATGCTCCAGGTCTGCCTCAGATTCTGTGCTGCCTCCAGTATACAGTCTATAGTCCTGTAGACATTTTTCATAAATGTGGAAATAAAGAAGTTGAAGCATAGATAGATTTAAATCATAGAGTTATATCTTTCCTCCTATTCAAGTTCTTTATATTGATCCACATTGTATAAAATTAAGGTGGATCTCAGATCTAGTTTTAATGGACCCGGGAATAAAGGTAAAATACATTCTCAGGTAGCAAAAAAGGAGGTTAAAATGCGTCTTCAACCTTCTTATTTCCTCTTAACAATAATCCCAGCACGGATTCTCTGTAAAGGAAATTGATCCTGAAGGTGCCTTTTTGTAAACATTTGGTAAAATTTTCATTGCAATTATCTGAAGTGAGATACTTATTTATTTTTGACTGAAGTAGTCTGAGAAACTGATTAGACAACTTCTTTCAATTTTTCCCCAAACTGTTTCTTATTAATAAAATTAAGTTACCATAGACCAAATGAGATTGTTAGGCCATTGAAGCATGAGATATATGGCATAGACTATAATTTAACAAAGTTTCTCTTGATTACTTGATGAAGGGTGAGGGGAACAAAAATATTAAAGAAGTTACTGTTGCATTGGAGGTCATAATATTTTTTCAGCAAAATGAACTATTACATCTTTAGAATTATTACAGAGAATATGCACAAAAGAAAAATAGAAAATAAGCAAAATAGCCAAACAAAGAAGAGAAAGCAATTGGGTAGAATGTGCTTATGATTATAATAAATGAAGGGAAAAAGAGAGAACTACAATTTTTTCACCATCTATGATAACAACTGTCAGAATATACATATAAATGAAAAATCAGGAAGACTATCAAATGCTAAGACCTCATTTGTATTAAGAAGTGAAGGTTATGCGTAATTTTTTTCTCCTCCATACTATCCACATTTGCTGTGATGTAGTTGTTATTTTCCATTTGCTACAGATGCAGCTGAAGTCACCTTCAACTCTAACCTAACTTCAAGCCAACCCTAACCCTAACTCTAGTCCTCTTCAACTGCATCTATAGCAAATGGAAACTACCTCATTCTAAATATGGATAGTACAGCGGAGAAAATTATGAATTCACTCCATAATTCCATTTCCCTTTCTCCTTCTCCAGAGGCAACTCCAGTCATGAATTCGCGAGTGTATTCATTTAGTATATTCTTACACTTGAGCTATAAATTCATATGTCTGTTAAGGATATAGTATTTTAAATTTTTGTATAAATGACACCTAATGTTATCCTTCTGCAACTTTTTTTTTTTTACAAAGCTGTGTTTTCATACTCCATCTATGTTGATGTATATGTCATTTGTTCATAACTACTGTATTGTATTTCATCATATGAACACATCCCAATTTGTTTACACATTTTTCTCACTGAGGAACATGCAGATTGTTGTAAATTTTCACCAATTCAAATAATGCTGCAGTAATCATTCTCCTATGTTTGTAGGTAAATATAAGCAAGTTTCTCAAAGCTATTTACTTAGAAGTAGAATTGCTAAACAATACTGAATAAATAACTTCAGTATTACTGGATATTGAAAAATTATTCTCCAAAATGGTTGTGACAATTCATACCGCAAAGCAGTATAAAGATTTCCTGTTTCTCCATTTTCTTGCCAAATAAGGTATTATTTTCAAACTGGGATTCTAGCTGATCTGATGAGTGTGAACTAAATTTTCATTATCTTGATTTCCGTTTCTCTGTTCACTATGAAGTTAGGAGTTTACCTTTGTAAGCTATTCGATTGGACTCTACTCTGATGACTGGCATATACTTTTGTCCAATTTTCTATGAGTTTGTCTTTTCCTTATTGCCAAAGTTCCTGATAGACTCTAAATACTCTTTGTCTGTTACATTTTACCATTAAGTATGATATGTGTTGGAGGGTAATTTAGTAAAGAAAGTTTATCTCCCTGGAATGCTTTTTTGCATATTAAAATAATGTTTTCACTTTTATTGAAACAATATGATTAATTATAATGATATATTTTCTGATGGTAAGCCATCCTTTAAGTCTTGGAATAAATTTTAGTTATTCTTGAGTTATTTTTAATATGGATCAATTTATTTTTCAGTATTTAGTAAATTGAGGTTATAATCTCTTAAGTGAGATTAGGCTATATTTTCTCTTATTCTTTGATCATTTAGTGGTCTTCATATAAAAATTGTATTATCCTTTTAAAATTAGTAGCGTAGCTTTTCCTCTTTTTCTATCCTCTAAAATAGTTCATTAAAACTTACCTATAAAACTATTTGGTAGAGAACAAGAAGAGAGGCGAGTTAGGGTGGAGGTGTGTACTACTGATAAAAGTTATTTAATGATTTATTGGGCTATTAGTTTTTAAGTTTCTTAGTCGGTATAGTAATTTTCTATTTCCTATGAATTTGTCAATTTTCTCTAAATTTTTAAAGTTACTGGTAGAGAGCAGATAATAACATTTTCTTAGATTTCAAAAAGCCTAAAACTATCTCTAGTTTTGTCTCCTTTCTTATCTCTAATTTGTTTACATGTGAATGCATTCCTGTGTACCCTTTCTCATTTTCTTCATCAGTCACACTAAAGTTGGTCTAATATAAATATACCTACTTCAGTGTTCTTTGGTACTGTTTGGTTTTTATCTCTTTTCCATCCATTTATCTTGGATCTTTGGCTTGTCTGCTGCTTTTAAAAAATATATCAATTCAGATACTCTTTATTTTGTTGGAATAGCTTAATCTATCTGCATTTGTTGCAATCTTTGACCTATTTGGACTTTTCCCAATTAAAATTTACTATGCAATTTTTATAATTGTATTTTTTCTTCCTTCATTTAAAAAATATTTAAGCCTTCTCACTGCATATTTCCCTTCTAGTAGTTTAGAAGTTGAATACTCTATTTCTAGTCTTTTTAATAGCTACAATTAAATTTTGACATCTATAACAAGGTCTTAATGTTAATCAAAATCTTTGTCCTGCTCCTAAATAATGCAAAGACTTGAGAATAATTTTCATAGCCCTCTTCCACTACCTTCCATATTATTATTAAAGAAAATAACAGGTTAGCTATTATAATTTGAATATTGATCCCTTTTCATCATTCTCTTTCTCCTTTCCTTTTAGAATCCTTAATATATGCATGTTGGACTTTCTCATTCTATGCTCCCTATCTCTTCTTTTAAATATTTTCTATCTCTTAATCTGTCTATGCTACATTCTGGGCAATGTTCTCATGTCTAAATAATTCACCAATTCTAGGCCTGTGGCTCATGACTGTAATCTTTGTACTTTTGGGAAGCCAAAACAGGTGGATCACTTGAGCTCGAGACCAGCCTGGGCAACATGGCGAGACTTCCCTTCCACAAAAAAATTAGCCAGGTGTGGTGACACGCTCCTGTAGTCCCAGCTACTCAGGAGGCTGAGATGTGCAGATTGCTTGAGCCTGGGACGTTGAGGCTGCAATGAACTGAGATTGTGCCACTGCACTCCAGCCTGGGTGACAGAGTGAGACCCTGTCTCAAAAAAATATATAGTAATAATAATAAATAATGATAATAGTTCATCAATTCCTTCTGCTGCTGCATCTAGTCTACTGTTCAACCTCCACATTAAATTTTTATCTTAAGAACTATATTTAGGCTGGGCATAGCGGCTCACGCCTGTAATCCAAGCACTTTGGAGGCCAAGGCGGGATCACCTGAGGCTGGGAGTTCGAGACCAGCATGACCAACAATGGTGAAACCCCGTCTTTATTTAAAAAAAAAAAGTTTTAAAGAAAAGAACTATATTTTATGATTTCTATAACTCCTTTCTCCTTTCTCCAAATCTATAGGGTATTCTTTATCCTCAATCCCTTGGTTTTTATTCTTCACTTTATTTCTTTGAATACTTACAACACACATATTTTAAATTAACTTTTGTTATTCTATTATTTAGGTCCCCCATTAGTTATACCTTCTGACTCTCTTATTGCAGATCATTTCCTTGTATGGTTTTCAGTTTTCACTGTCAGCTTGCTTTGAGTGAGAATTTGTTTTCTTTGGAAACTACAGGTGCCATGGATTACAGAAGCATCTTTACAGAATAATTTCAGATTTGTCTTTACAAGGGGATTCGGATTTCAAGCATCAATTCTGGCTTTGTGTCTCTGAAATGGACAGATTGTTTGTTAAACCCTACTTGTGTATTTGGTGCTGGGTTTTCAAGTTTCTGATTTCTCACTGGTGACTCTTTCAGTTCCTATACCCATAGTTAATAGCTAACTTCCAAGCTCGTTCCCCGGGAGAGTGGACGGATATGTTTTAGTACCTGTTTTACAGATGGAACAGCATATTGTAACTCTGGACTTTATGCTGATAGCTCTATTCAGTTTCCCATTTCAGATGAGGCTTATGGTTCTGACTCAGACATTCCATCCCCAGCTGCCCAGTCATTAAGATTTCTCTTTATCTGGTCTCAATTTCCCTTTGTGTCCCTTGACTGCAGTTCTCACTTGCATCTTTAATTGTGAGTTTCCTGTGTGTGTCTGGCACCTGGGGATTTTACTTTATTGATTTCTATGTGGATTGTATCATCTTTATAAAAGTATTTGCATTGCTATATTTCATCTAGATTTCCTATGCATTTAGAGTAGGGGTGTGTGCCTCCCAAATATGCTTAGGTCACCATATTGACCAGACATACTTATATCATTTCTCTAATGAGGAAAAAATACAAAAAGCTTTTAAAATGTGTTTTTAAAAACGTTTCATTTTAAGTAACCTTTTTTCTCCAGGCTTTTCAGTGCAGAATTTGAAGAACCACATAATTATGAGGCAACAATTCCATGTCTGAGATACTCTGGCAACTCCATTAACCTGTGCACTGCAAAAGAAATTGCTGATCGTAAGTCTGCTAAGCCAATTAATATTGTAACCCTGTGTGAAATGAAAATGTGTCAAAAATGGTATTTTCCCTTTAGCTAACTGTAAGTTTAAGAATGCACAGCCATCCTGCACTACCATCTTATTTCTTTTTCTTCTTTTCTTAAAGAAGAAAACTGGTCTCTTAAAAATAAATATAAACCCGGCTGGGCATCAATGCTGTCTCATGACTCCTATTGCTGCCTTCCCAGCCTCTTCTTTGTCCCCCTTTACCAATCGACTCAGCTGCTTTGCCTTTATAGATATGTGGGAGGGAAAATCAAGATAATGATGATTCGTTTTTCTTCCTTCTCTTCCTATAGAAACTTCATCTCTCTTCTCCTGGTGTCTTTCTTGAAGTCCCCTGGTTACTTGGTGTGTGGAGAGTAAGATAACAGAGCATGAGAAATAGGCCCTTGTGTTCAGTCAGAACAGCAGCAGGGGATTTATTTAATGGATCTGACCACTGGCTCAGAGCTAAGCCTTCCTGTCTCTGACATTGCTGACAATCCTCAGGACTGTTTTGTGAGTAAAGAGATCCTCTTGGGTAAAAAGATGAGGCAACAGAGATTTGTAGCATTTCTACAAGTTGCAATGTCCTTGCTCTGCCTATAGTATCAGCCAGTTCTCTATTAAAGGCATACATTTTAGTGCTGGAATAAACACTAGTATTTAGTGAGCTTGTACATAGGATACTGTAGCTCTGTGTTAGGTTCCCTGTGTACAGCCCTGCTGATAGAGTGGTTTGATCACCCCTAATGTTTGGGACAGGAAACTGAAGATCAGAAAGATTGAGTTTCATGAGGCCATAAAAATACCATGGAATAGAGTTATAATGAGAAACAGGCTCAGGCTACCTCTAAATTCCATGCTCTTTCTACAAGTTTATGCTACGTCTTATTCAAGGAAGTCTGGCTTCTCTGGAAAGAGGGTTAAAAAGAGATCATCTGGTGCACCTTCTTCTTTGTATAAACAAGAACCCCAAGGTTCTGGGAAAGAAAGTCATTTTCCTGGGAATACATACTTAGGAAGTTCGTGAGGTAAGGATCAGGACCTATTGAAATTTCCCTCTTCTTCCTCAATAAATAAGGGGTTGGAGAACTGTTAGAAAAACTGCCTCTCTTTTAGATTGGGCAATCTAAATTACCCTAAATGGTTTTTAAAATTCTAGCCATAGGAAGAGTAACTCTTGACCCTGCCCAGCACCCGAAAAGGTAATGCTGCCCTGTATTCAGAGTATGTGGGCCCCTGCTTTAGAGCAGGGCTTCTCAAATTCTAGTGTTCACACAAGTTACCCAGGGATCTTGTTAAAATATAGATTCTGGTTCAGCAGTTCCAATGTGGGGTCTGAAATTCTGCATTTCTAACAAGTTTTCAGTGAAACCAGTGCTGCTGGTCTACAGATCACACTTTGAAAAGAAAGGTTGTGGGCACCATTTGGGCCAAATTCCAACTATGTGTCCTTCTACAAGGCTAAGAATTCACAGAGCCAAAGGGATGCTCCAATCAGAGCCAGCTCCTTCTCTCTTTGTACCACGTGACACCCTTAGAATCCACCCCCCTGCAAGTAGCGCATTTCAGGTGAAGTGGACCACTGTTTCTGGGAAGATGGAACAGATGTACTTTTTTCCTATTGATCTTGCTAAGTACAATTAAAAGCCCCGGGCATCATATATATAAAACAAATATAAGAAGACATGAGGACTCTGAAAGGTAGAGAGGCAAGAATGCCTGCCCTTACCATTCCTATTCAACATAGTGCAAGATGTTCTAGCTAGCACAATAAAGCAAGCAAAAGAAACAAAATGCATACAGATAGAAAAGAAATAAATAAAACTATCTTATTCACAGTGACGTGATTATCTAGATAGAAATTCCCAAGGAATTTACCAAAAAAGCACACAAAAATCCTCCTAGAACTAATAAATGATTTCAGAAAGATTGTAGAATACAAAATAAACATACAAAAGATTAGTTATATTTCTGTATATTAGGAATGAACATACAAATACTGAAATTGAAAAATATATCATTTACAATTGCTTAAAAATAGATAAGTATTTATATTTAAATCCTACAAAGTATGATAAGGCCTAAAAGCTTAAAGCTATAAAATTCTGATTAAATCAAAGAACATCTAAATAAGTGGAGAGACATACCATGTTTATGGATTGGAAGACTCAACACAGTAAAATTGACAGCAAAAATGTCAATTCTCTCAAAATGATATACAGGTTTAATAAAATCCCTATAAAAATCCCAGTAAGATTTTTTGCAGATACAGACAAGATTATCCTAAAATGCATATAGAAATTCGAAGGATTTAGAATAGCTAAAAACAGTTTTGAAAAATAAAAAGGAGGTACTAGTCTACCAGTTTTAAGAATTGTCAGTGTAGTAATCAAGACTACATGGTATTGGCAAAGAGAGACACATAGAACAATGAAACAGAATTGAGAATTCGGAAATAGACCTACACAGATATGCCCAACTGTTATTGTTATTTTTTTTTAACAAAGATGCAAAAGCAGTTCAACAGAGGAAAGACCGCCTTTTAAAGAATGGTGTTGAAGCAATTGCCATAGGCAAATGAAAATAAACAAACCTTGACCCAAGCCTCACACCTTATACAAAAGTTAATTAAAATGGCTCTTTCCTCTTTATTTTTTGTACACCAAAGGTGAGACATCTAAATGATACCTTTCAAAGGGGTGGGGAGAGAGAGGTGGAAGGGAGAGAGAGGGAAGGAAGGAGAAAGAGGTCAAGGTAGTTGGCTTTTGCTGTTGCCATTGGGTGACTCTGTCCCTTGAACAATGACAAGAAAACAGGGAAGACCATCCCTGTTTAGTGCTTAGCTCAGCACTAGTGCCTTTGGTGAGGTTTCATTTATGTAGAACTTGGCATTGGGTATACATGATTCAGGCTGCTCTAAAAGCTCTGCAGAATTGTCCTCAGAGGTATATAGACAAGTGCTTTGCAGACTGTACTTCTAGGTCCAGGGTTTTTGAAGACTCTTGGAGACTCTTAGAGATACCTTCAAACAGAGTTCTGTTATGCTTCTGCATAATATTCCATTTAATAAAGCCACGGATGGAAGAAAATTTGAAAGCATTTCTTACCTGAGTGATCTTGGGCAGTTTACTTCACTTATCCCACTTGCTGTTTCCCACCAATTGTCAGTATTCCAATTGTCAGTATTCCAATTGTCAGTATTCCAATTGTCAGTATTCCAATTGTCAGTAAAATTGGAATAATAGTAGTGATCATCATGAGAATTAAATGAAATAATGCATTTAAATGCTTGGCATAGTGCCTGCTATTTATAAGTATAAAAAATGTTAGTTTCTTTTAAATTATTATTTTTATTAGCAATAATCATTTCACCTCCAGGGTGTAAAAGAGGAGACGGGACTTTTCCAAGGTTACACAGACAGGATGAGGAGAGGGCACAAAAGGCTGTAAAGACATGACCATGTTATGACACTAGCAGTTGGAGGTTGCTGAGGACCATCTTCAGATTTTGTCCTTTCTCTGCCCCCCTGATAAAACTAGTCAGTGGATAGAGGGCTATATAACTGCGTAGAAAGTAGCAAGGACTCTCACGCTCATGTCATTATTCCTAGTCCATTCCTGACCCTTTGGGAGGTGGCCCTTTATCCTCTATATTCCTACCTTGAAATATATGTTGGAATTCCTACCTAAGTTTTGATAGGTTAGCTTACCATGAAAGAAACTCCACTTTGTTAAAAAGCAGTAACGGCCGGGCGCAGTGGCTCACGCCTGTAATCCCAGCACTTTGGGAGGCCGAGGTGGGTGGATCACGAGGTCAAGAGATCGAGACCATCCTGGTCAACATGATGAAACCTCGTCTCTACTAAAAATACAAAAATAAAAAAAATTAGCTGGGCATGGTGGTGCGTGCCTGTAATCCCAGCTACTCAGGAGGCTGAGGCAGGAGAATTGCTTGAACCCAGGAGGCGGAGGTTGCAGTGAGCCGAGATCACGCCATTGCACTCCAGCCTGGGTATCAAGAGCAAAACTCTGTCTCAAAAAAAAAAATGGCAGTAACAACATTATGAATACATTATTAATTGAATGTGTATTATCTTTGTTTACTAACCATGGCAAGTAAGACTTCTCCAAGCCTTGGTTTCATCATTTCTAAGATAGAATAAGTAATAATATCCATCCCCAGGAGGTTAGGAGAAGCAAATGAGATCATGATTTGCTAGTTCTTTGAGAGGCATAGACAAGTAAATAAATTGGGGTAGAAAGAAGGAGATTACCATTTTTTAAAAGGGGAAGCAAATTCATGTCAGGGATCAATATTGGGCAAACTGTATCACAAACAGTTCTTTTTAAAGTATTAATAAGTGTACAATTACCCAAGTTGAAAAACATATTATGAATTATCCATGTAGAATTTTAGATCTGTGCTAACAGTTATATGTTGATAGTCCCTAAAGAAAACCTAGCATTTCATTTATTTTATCAGCATATTATATGTTTCGAATAATAAAAGCTTGGAAATGCAACATGTCATTTGGTCAGTTTTCTAAAGCTTCAGAACTTTAGCAGCAAGAAAGAGAAAAACAGAGGGAGGAGTCCTTCTTTTATGCACATATGTTCATTAACAGTAGGGAGAAAAGTTTTATAAATAACCTTTAAGCAAAGGAAAACCAAACAAGCAGCTTTATCAAAAAAAATTGCCATTTTCTATACAACGTCCAGTGTTCTGCTAAGTATATTAAATTTCTTACATCGTTTCCTTGAATCTCCCCAATAACTCTGTAAGGCAGGTACCAATTGGTTCATTTTTACAGATGAGCAAGCTGAGGCTCAAAGAAATGAAGTAATTTGTCTGAAATACCCTACGTAGGAAGTGGCAGGACTGTGTCTGAACTCAAATTCTTGTCACTACTTGTATTTGTTAATATAGTCATGTGCTATACAGTGTTTTGGCTAACAGTGAATTGCATATCCAGCAGTTGTTCCATAAGATGATAACACTGTATTTTTACTGTACCTTTTCTATGTTTAGATGCACAACTATTTATAATTGTGTTACAATTGCCTCCAGTATTCACTACAGTAACGTGCTATGCAGGTTTGTTGCCTAGGAACAATAGGCCATACCCTATAGCCTAGGTAGGTAGTAGGCTATACCATCTAGGTTTGTGTAAATATGTTCTGTGTTATTCACATGATGATGAAATTACCTAATGATGCATTTCTCATAACATATCCCCATTGTTAAGTGATGTATCACTGTAATTAAGATTGGCATGATGTCATTAAATAAAATCCCCGGAAGTATTGAAAAAATTGAAAGGTGGGTCAGCCTTAGTTGGTGGGCTTGTCTTTTCAAGCTGTATTTAAGGAAATAAAAATGGCTGTGGAACAGAGCATTTTGGGGCATGATAGAGAATTCATTTTGTTGAAGTGGGATTTAAGCTTTTTCCATTCTCTTTCACGTTTGCCTTCTGAGCTGCCACTACATTTTAGTGCTTTCTTTTAAGCATGGAGTATGTATCTGTTTGTCAAAACAGGAAACTGAAATCGTTTCACATGCTTCATTGACTGTAAATTCCATTCTGGAAATCCCCACAGAAATTAAAACTATGATCACTGACCCCATAATTTCCAAACTTTGTAGATAGAGCCTTACATAATCTGATGTTCTAATAGGTAAGAAAACTGAACTCTGCAATCTTTATAACTGCTTTAATCCTGGGTACTATAAGAATGGGTGGGCCAGGCGCGGTGGCTCAAGCCTGTAATCCCAGCACTTTGGGAGGCCGAGGCGGGTGGATCACGAGGTCAAGAGATCGAGACCATCCTGGTCAACATGGTGAAACCCTGTCTCTACTAAAAATACAAAAAATTAGCTGGGCATGGTGGTGCGTGCCTGTAATCCCAGCTACTCAGGAGGCTGAGGCAGGAGAATTGCCTGAACCCAGGAGGCGGAGGTTGCGGTGAGCCGAGATCGCGCCATTGCACTCCAGCCTGGGTAACATGAGTGAAACTCCGTCTCAAAAAAAAAAAAGAAATGGGTGGATAAACTGCCTTGAAATAATTTTTTATGTTTATTTTAGCAACTTACGAAGTTGGAATTGAAGAACTCCAAAAGGTATTGTTTCTCATTATCAACATTATAACTAAAAGTAAAATAAGCATGCAAGGTTGATTCTAAAGTACTATGTTTTATGAGAGAAGAAATGTCTTTGTTTTCATGTTTCCTCCTATTTCTGAGGCTTTTCTAGACTCCAGCTTCTAAGAATCTGAACTTTGAGCCTTGTTAGTGTCAGAGACAAAAATCTGTGATAGATGGGAGGAAATGGTCCCAATTTATCCATAGCCCTTTTCTGTGGTGGCTAGTGACAACTAGCTTTTATTAACTGTGACTTTCAGAGAGAAGAATTCTGTGGCACAATCCAGATTTGTATATCCTGGCTTTCAGACCCCTTAAGGCATGCTTTCTGGGCTCCTGCTGGATGTGGTGCCGGGTGCCACCTGGAGGCAGCATAGCAACCTCATTACAGCCCAGGTAGAATCACTGCTGGCCTCAATCTCAGCTCCTGCCTATGTGATCTTCAGTGTCCATTTAGCACTCACATCTGAGGTCCTTGTGAGAATGAAAATAAGATAAATGAAGGTAAACAGCTTATTAGTAAGTGCTTGAAACAGAGCATTTTACCTCTCTGAGACTCAGATATGTCCTCTGTAAAGTGGTATATTCTTGACCAGGCACCGTGGCCCATACCAACAAGCCCAGTGCTTTGGGAGACCAAGGCAGACAGATCACTTGAGCCCAGGAGTTCAAGACCAGCCTGGGCAACATGGTGAAACACTCTCTGTACAAAAAAAAAAAAAAAAATGCAAAAATTATCCAGCCATGGTGGTGCACACCTATAGTCCCAGCTGTTTGGGAGGCTGAGGCAGGAGAACCATTTGAGCCCAGGAGGTGGAGGTTACAGTGAGCTGAGATCATACCACTGCACGTTAGCCTGGGCAGCAGACAGACTGAGACCCTGTATAGAAAAGAAAAGGAAAAAAGAAAAGAAAAGAAAAGATGTATTTTCCATGAAAACAGGAAGCATATGTCTTGTGGTTACTGCATCTGCAGTAGTAGATGCTCAATAAATAAAGTGACCAATACTTGTTTCACTGAATATCTGGGAGAAGTAAGGCAAACAAAGTATTTAAGTACCTAGTACCGTGCCTGGCTCAGAAAAGGCCTTTACCTAGTGTTTTAATGGGATCAGTAAAGGTTCTACTCTTTTCTCAATAGATACATTTAACCTAAATCCTTCATCTCTCTGTTTTAGTTTTCTTATGCATGCTGGTAAGAATTATTCATTTGTGGATACACTTTGTCACTAGAAAAATATGAATGATTATTATTTCTATTAATGGGAGTAGAAATCGCCTATTAAAATGCTTCAGCTACCTGACAACATCAACAAATAATAAACTGTTCTGCAAAACTGAACTCTCCAAGTAACTGAATTTTATCCCATTTTATCCCAATTTTATGTTTTAAGTAAAATATAAGATTATTTTTAATTTTTAAATCTCTTAACTCTCAGATATGTTTTGTGTTCATCTCTGTATTTTAAGCTCAGTGAGTGGAATCTGATGCCTTCCTTTCTTAATAACTTGGCATGTTCTTGAATATAAGGGACTGAGTGGACATACTTGATGCTCTTCTTTTTTTATTTTTTTAATTGCATTTTAGGCTTTGGGATACGCATGAAGAACATGCAAGATTGTTGCATAGGTACACACATGGCAGTGTGATTTGCTGCCTTCCTCCCATTCACCTATATCTGGCATTTCTCCCCATGCTATCTCTCCTCAGCTCCCCACTCCTCGCTGTCCTACCCCTATTTCCCCCACACAGACCCCAGTGTGTGATGCTTCCCTCCCTGTGTCTATGTGTTCTCGTTGTTCAACACCCACCTATGAGTGAGAACATGCAGTGTTTGATTTTCTGTTCTTGTGTCAGTTTGCTGAGAATGATGGTTTCCAGGTTCATCCATGCCCCTACAAAGGACATGAACCCATTGTTTTTGATGACTGCATAATATTCCATGGTGTATATGTGCCACATTTTCCCTGTCCAGTCTATCATCAATGGGCATTTGGGTTGGTTCCAGGTCTTTGCTATTGTAAATAGTGCTGCAATGAATATTCGTGTGCATGTGTCCTTATGGTAGAATGATTTATAATCCTTTGGATATATACCCAATAATGGGATTGCTGGGTCAAATGGAATTTCTATTTCTAGGTCCTTGAGGAATCATCACACTGTCTTCCACAATGGTTCAACTAATTTACCCTCCTACCAACAGTGTAAAAGTGTTCCTATTTCTCCACATCCTCTCCAGCATCTATCAGATTTTTTAACGATCGCCGTTCTAACTGGCATGAGATGGTATCTCAATGTAGTTTTGATTTGCATTTCTCTAATGACCAGTGATGATGAGCATTTTTTCATATGTTTCTTGGCCTCATATATGTCTTCTTTTATAAAGTGTCTGTTCATACCCTTCACCCACTTTTGAATGGGCTTGTTTGTTTTTTTCTTGTAAATCTGTTTTAGTTCTTTGTAAATTCTGAATATCAGCCCTTTGTCAGATGGATAGACTGCAAAAATTTTTTTCCATTCTGTTGGTTTCCGATTCACTCTAATGACTGTTTCTTTTGCCTTGCAGAAGCTGGGGAGTTTGATTAGGTACCATTTGTCTATTTTGGCTTTTGTTGACAATGCTTTTGGTGTTTTGGTCATGAAGTCCTTGCCTACACCTATGTCCTAAATGGTTTTGCCTAGATTTTCTTCTAGGGTTTTTATGGTGTTAGGTCTTATGTTTAAGTCTTTAATCCATCTGGAGTTAATTTTAGTGTAAGGTGTCAGGAAGGGGTCCAGTTTCTGCTTTCTGCACATGGCTAGCCAGTTTTCCCAACACCATTTATTAAACAGGGAATACTTTCCTCATTGCTTTTTTTGTCAGGTTTGTCAAAGATCGGATTGTTGTAGATATGTTGTGTTGCCTCCGAGGCTTCTGTTCTGTTCCACTGGCCTATATTTCTGTTTTGGTACCAGTACCATGCTGTTATGATTACTGTAGCCTTGTAGTACAGTCTGAAGTCAGGTGGTGTGATGCCACCCGCTTTGTTCTTTTTGCTTAGAGTTAACTTGGCTATGCGGGTTCTCTTTTGGTTCCATATGAAGTTTAAGGTGGTATTTTCCAGTCCTGTGAAGAAGGTCATTGGTAGCTTGATGGGGATAGCATTGAATCTGTAAATTACTTTGGGCAGTATGGCCATTTTCACAATATTGATTCTTCCTAATCATGAACATGGAATGTTTCTCCATCTGTTTGTGTCCTCTCTTATTTCATTGAGCAGTGGTTTGTAGTTCTCCTTGAAGAGGTCCTTTACGTTCCTTGTTAGTCGTATTCCTAGGTATTTTATTCTCTTTGTAGCAATTGTGAATGGCAGTTCATTCTTGATTTGGCTCTCTTTAAGTCTGCTATTGGTGTATAGGAATGCTTGTGATTTTTGCATATTGATTTTGTATTCTGAGACTTTGCTGAAGCTGCTTATCAGTATCAGGAGATTTTGGGCTGAGATGATGGAGTCTTCTAAATATACAATCATGTTGTCTGCAAATAGAGACAATTTGACTTCCTCCCTTCCTATTTGAATACACTTCATTTCTTTTTCTTGCCTGATTTCTCCGGCTGGAACTTCCAATACTATATTGAATAGGAGTGGTGAGAGAGGGCATCCTTGTCTAGTGCCAGATTTCAAAGGGAATGCTTCCAGTTTTTGCCCATTCAGTATGATATTGGCTGTTGGTTTGTCGTAAATAGCTTTTATTATTTTGAGATACGTTCTGTCAATACCTAGTTTATTGAGTGTTTTTAGCATAAAGCACTGTTGAATTTTGTCAAAGGCCTTCTCTGCATCAATTGAGACAATCATGTGGTTTTCGTCTTTGGTTCTGTTTATGTGGTGAATTACGTTTATAGACTTCTGTATGTTGAACCAGCCTTGCATCCCCAGGATGAATCCTACTTGATCATGGTGGATACGCTTTTTGATGTGCTGTTGCAATCGGCTTGCCAGTATTTTACTGAAGATTTTTGCGTCTATGTTCTCATGGATATTGGCCTGTAGTTTTCTTTTCTTGCTGAGTCTCTGCCGGGTTTTGGTATCAGGATGATGTTGGTCTCATAAAATGATTTGGGAAGGATTCCCTCTTTTTGGATTATTTCAAATAGTTTCAGAAGGAATGGTACCAGCTCTTCTTTGTATGTCTGATAGAATTTGGCTGTGAACCCATCTGGACCTGGGCTTTTCTTGGGTGGTAGGCTCTTAACAGCTGCCTCAACTTCAGACCTTGTTATTGGTTTATTCAGGTTTTTGACTTCTTCCTGGTTTAGGCTTGGGAGGATGCAAGTGTCCAGGAATATATCCATTTCTTCCAGGTTTACTAGTTTATGTGCATAGAGTTGTTTGTAATAATCTCTGAAGATGGTTTGAATTTCTGTGGAATCCGTGGTGATATCCCATTTATCACTTTTTTATTGCATCTATTTGATTATTCTCTCTTTTCTTTTTTATTAATCTGGCTGGTGGTCTATTTTGTTGATCTTTTTGTAAAACCAGCTCCTGGATTTATTGATTTTTTGAAGGGTTTTTTGTGTCTTTATCTCCTTCAGTTCTCCTCTGATCTTAATTATTTCTTGTCTTCTACTAGATTTTGAGTTTTTTTAATCTTGCTTCTCTAGCTCTTTCAATTTTGATGATGGGGTGTCAATTTTCGATCTCTCCTGGCTTCTCCTGTGGACATTTATTGCTATATATTTTCCTCTAGAGGCTGCTTTAAATGTGTCCCAGAGATTTTGGTATGTTGTGTATTTGTTCTCGTTGGTTTCGAAGAATATCTTTATTTCTGTCTTCATTTCATTGTTTATCTAGTCAACATTCAAGAGCCAGTTGTTCAGTTTCCATGAAGCTGTGCAGTTCTGAGTTAGTTTCTGAATTCTGAGTTCTAACTTGATTGACCTGTGGTCTGAGAGACTGTTTGTTATGACTTCCGTTCTTTTGCATTTGCTGAGGAGTAATTTACTTCTAATTATGTGGTCAGTTTTAGAGTAGGTGTGATGTGGTGCTGAGAAGAATGTATATTCTGTGGATTTCGGGTGGACAGTTCTGTAAATGTCCATTAGGTTTGCTTGGTCCAGGTCTGAGTTCAAGTCCTGGATATCCTTGTTACTTTTCTGTCTTGTTGATCTAATATTGACAATGGGGTGTAAAAGTCTCCCACTATTATTGTGTGGAAGTCTAAGTCTCTTTTTAAGTCATTAAGAACTTGCCTTATGTATCTGGGTGCTCCTGTATTGGGTGCGTATATATTTAGGATCGTTAGCTCCTTTTACCATTATGTAATATCCTTCTTTGTCTCTTTTGATCTTTGTTGGTTTAAAGTCTATTATATCAGAGATGAGAATTGCAACTCTTGCTTTTTTTTGCTCTCCATTTGTTTGGTGAATCTTCCTCCATCCCTTTATTTTGAGCCTTTGTGTAACCTTGCATGTGAGATGGGTTTCCTGGATACAGCACACTGATGGATTTTGGCTTTTTATCCCATTTGCCAGTCTGTGTCTTTTGATTGGGGCATTTAGCCCATTTACATTTAGGGTTAATAATGTTATGTGTGAATTTGATCCTGCCATTTTGATGCTGGCTGGCTGTTTTGCCTGTTAGTTGATGCAGTTTCTTCATTGTGTTGATGCTCTTTACCATTGGGTATGTTATTGGAGTGGTTTTTCCTTTCTATATTTAGTGCCTCTCAGGAGCTCTTGTAAAGTAGGCCTGGTGGTGATGAAATCTCTGAGTACTTGCTTGGTCGTAAAGGATTTTATTTTTCCTTCACTTATGAAGCTTAGTTTGGCTGGATATTAAATTCTGGTTTGAAAGTTCTTTTCTTTAAGGATGTTGAATATTGGCCCCCACTCTCTTCTGGCTTGTAGGGTTTCTGCTGAGAGATCGGCTGTGAGTCTGATGGGCTTCCCTTCTTGGGTAACCCAACCTTTCTCTCTGGCTGCCTTTAGCATTTTCTCCTTCATTTCAAACCTGGTGAATCTGATGATTATGTGCCTTGGGGTTGCTCTTCTTGAGGAATATCTTTGTGGAGTTCTCTGTAATTTCTGGACTTGAATATTGGCCTGCCTTGCTAGGTTGGTGAAGTTCTCCTGGATAATATCCTGAAGAGTGTTTTCCAGCTTGGATTCATTCTCTCCGTCACATTCAGGTACACCTATAAAAAGTAGATTAGGTCTTTGCGCATAGTCCCATATTTCTTGGAGACGATGTTCATTCCTTTTTACCCTTTTTTCTTTAATCTTGCCTTCTCATTTTATTACATTGAGTTGATCTTCAACCTCTGATATCTTTTCTTCTGCTTGGTCAATTTGGCTGTTGGAACTTGTGTATGCTTCGCAAAGTTCTCGTGTTGTGTTTTTCAGCTCCATCAATTCACTTATATTCCTCTCTAAGTTGTCTATTCTCGTTAGCATTTCTTCAAATCTTTTTTCAAAGTTCTTAGTTTCTTTGCATTGGGTTAGAATATGTTCTTTTAGCTCAGAGAAGTTTCTTATTACTTACCTTCTGAAGCCTGATTCTGTCAATTCATCAGACTCATTCTCCATCCAGCCTTGTTCCCTTGCTGATGAGGAGTTGTGATCCCTTGGAGAAGGAGAGACATTCTGGTTTTGGGTGCTTTCATCCTTTTTACACTGGTTTCTTCCCACCTTTGTGGATTTATCCACCTGCCATCTTTGTAGTTGTTGACTTTCAGATTGGGTCTCTGAGTGGATGTCCAGTTTGTTGATGATGAAGCTATTTCTTTCTGTTTCTTAGTTTTCCTTCTAACAGTCTGGTCCCTCTGCTATAGGACTGCTGATGTCCACTCCAGGCCCTGCTTGCCTGGGGATCACCTGCAGCAGCTGCAGAACAGTAAGGGTTGCTGCCAGTTGCTTCTTCTGCTATCTTTGTCCCTTAAGGATACCTGCCAAATATCAGTCTGAGCTCTCCTTTATGAGGTGACTCTTTGTATATATGGGGGTCAGGGAACTGCTTGAGGAGACAGTCTGTCCTTTATTGGAGCTAAAGTGCTGAGTGAGCTGTGAGCTCCATTGTTCATTCAGAGCTGCTGGGCGGGTACGTTTAAGTCTGCTGCAGCAGAATTCATAAACCCTTTTTTTCCCCAGTTGTTCTGTCCTGGTGAGTTAGAGCTTTATTTATGAGCTTCCATTGTACTGCTGCCTTTTTTTTCAGGGCTGCCCTGCCCAGTGAGGAGCAGACTAGTCACTGTCTGCCTGCAGAGGCTTTGCTGAGCTGCTGTGGGCTCTGCCCAGATGCCATGTGAACTTCCCTGCAGTCTTGTTTATACAGGTGTAGTTAGAACTGCCTTGGGAATGGTGGCCCAGCTCTGTAATGGCTGACTCTCTATGTAATGGCGGGTTGCCTCGGCAACAGTGGGCTGCCTCAACAATGGCGGACTACCTACGTAGTGGTGGAGTGCCGTGGTAATGGCCGACGCCCCTCCCCCACAGAGCTGGACCTTCCTGGGTTCAGCTGTGCTTGCTGTGAAACTCTCAATCCAGAGTGTTTCCAATTGCTGTTTTTTTGTGGGGGTGGGTCCAGCTGAACCTGATCAGCTGGATCCCTGCCTCAGAGCCTTTTTTTAAGTTGAACGGCTGACTCTGTCTCCCAGGTGTTCCAGTCGCCTGTCAAAAAGGCACCGGGATCTGTGTGATTTCCTTGTGGTGACCCAATGCTCCGGCTGAAACAGCAGCACTGAGATTCATGGCACTTTTTTGCCTGGGAATCTCCTGGCCTGGCTCCCTGTTTCCGTCCCCTTTTTAATCAGATGAAAGGGTGACTCTGCCTTCCCAGAGATCCAATTGCCAGCTAAAACGGCTCCCGGACCCATGTATTTTGTACAGAGAACCGCCGTGCTGGCCAAACCAGCTATGCTGGCGATTCGTGGGGCTCCGCCACCTGGGAATCTTCTCGTCTGTGGGCAATAAAAATCTGTCTGGAAATGCAGCATCCACTCACCCTCTGCGCTTTCACTGGGAGCTGCAATCCTGAGCTGCTCCTAATCGGCCATCTTTGATGCTCTTCTTATGAGATGCTCTTGAGCCTTTGCAGATCACAAGTCAGTTTTCTGTATTCTTTTCTCCTTTTTTTTTTTTCTACTGTCAGTATCTTTGTGTCTAGCAATGAGTTTTTCATGTGGTCAAGCACGTACCAAATCCCTCTGATGTGACAGCACTTGTTCATAGAGTAGCACTTAATCCTCGTAGTTACCCTGTGAGCTGGTATCACTGCTCCCATATTACAGATGACAACATTAAGGCTCAGAGAGGTTTGGTAACCTGTAAATCATGTAATAAAGATATAAAACAAGGTCTCTTTGACTTGTCATTTGACCAGTGCTGCATCTAATTTGCTAGAATTATGTGTAAAATGAGAACCAGTAGTCCCTGAATAAATTGTCTGCAGGGCTACCCTCAAAGGAGAGTCTAATGAGCAACAGCCTGGATTTCATGATGGCACTTCAAAAGCTTAGATATTTTCTGTTCTCTTCAGGATTCTTAGACAGATTTCAAATAACGAATGGCAACAGATATATGATCACCGAATAAATGAGGGGCTACATTGTGATCATTGGGACATAATTTTAATGGAGCCAAATATAGATCATGCAAGATTTGAGCAGTGATCACAGAGCACATGATTAGTGAATAAGGGAGACATTCCAGCATTACTTGTGCACTTTTGAATACCAATTTGCCCACTGAAATATTGCTTAAATACCACAAATTCATATTTTCTCATAGGAGTTAGAAATTCTTTATGCTACAGGTGCATTCCTGGGAAGGTGTGCATACAGCAATTACTTTTTCTGAGTCACAACATACATTCCTTTGGGCATGACTTATAACTTCAGAAATGCTTGTTTTCATTTCTGATTGATCTTCAGCCCCACCGCAACAGTTCCCAGAACTTTCTGTGGTCAGTGTCTGCCTTTGCTCTATATTGAGTCTTCATCCCCTTCACCTTTTGGTGTAGTCTCTAATGATCTGTAACCAAATAACAGAGCCTAATTTAGGTCAATTTATGAAAATAACCATTTTCCTCTTTACTTTCAGCCTTGCAAAAATTTCCCCTATCAAGAACCTAGGTGAGTTTTATCTTCAAAAAGAAAAGCATCTGTCCAACCACTGACCTTCTGATGACCGAACTAGTTTTCTTCTATGGGCCAGTTATGTTTCCAAACTGAACTAGCCTGGTTCAGTTTTCCTGGCACCTAGCAAGGTACCTAGTACAGAGGAAGTGATCCGTGATCCTGCCTTGTCTCCACCTCTGACTTCGTTCTAGCCCCTGCTGCACTCAGCAGACATTTACTGAGTACCCAACGTGTGCCAGATATGTGCTAACCACTCGGTCTCTAGTAGTGATGGAGACCTCGCTACTGCTTTCAGGAGCTCAAATTAGTAGGAGAGTCACATAATCAAACAGGCAAATAACAATAACATGAATTCCCAAGGACTGACAATTCCCAAAATGCACCCTACTCTTTAAAGTCTCTTTGTCTTTGCTCTTTTAAGTCATTCATTCACCCCAGTTTAACATCTGGCAAGCTTTTACTAATCCATCAACCTCCACTCATGTAAGAACCCTTCCTTCATTCTACTCCCTCAGAAGTAACCAGTCCCTTGCCTGTGGTGCCACTGTAAGGTACACATATGTTTGCATAAATGGCGTTGTATGTAGTTTGCTAACATGCCAATTTACCCCTTCTCATCTGGGAGCTCCTTGTATGTAGGGCCAATGTTTTATTTTTCTTGGTGTTTCTGGTACCTCTCACACTTCCTGGGTCCAGAGCAGTGTCCTGGCACATAGCAGTGCTCTTACCTGCCTCTTCAGAGTCTGTTTCTAGTCCTCCTCCCTGGAGTTATTCTAATACATTAGAAAAAGCATGGTTGGTAAGCTCTGGAGAAGCAAATATCAAAATTTCCTGGCTGAGTCTAAAAACATAAGTGCTGAATCATGGAGAAAATCTGCTTTAGCTGGGTGGGCTATTTTACTCTCTCTCCCTGAGTTCCTGCTTGTCCCTAAATTTATGACTCTCATAAATATCTTGTAGCACTAGCACAGTGCTGGGCACATGGTAGGCATAGGTCACATGATTAATTATTTAGTTCAACAGTTTTTGAGCTTTTACTCTTCAGACACTGCTAGAGTCTGAGGTATAAAAATAAATAGGACATATTTTCTACCCTCGATCCAAGATGCGAGGGGAAGCTAGAGTAGTTGGGGGCGAGGGGTACCTGGAGGGTAAAATGACCAAATAAATAGGAAATCACAACAAAATACGATCACTGCTATGGAAGTTTCACAACACAGGAGTGAGGCACGAAAACCAACTATTCCTACCATGGATTACACAGCAGTGATTTTTAGTAGTTGACAAGGCAATGTGGAGAAATTGGAGATAGTCATAGACAGATGTATTGTAAGACATCGTAGAAGAACTGTTAGGAGAGTAGAGAAGGTATGACTGCTTGAGAGAATCAGGGATGCATTCTCAGAGGTAAGATGATTTAGACACATCATGAAGGGCATTGCATTTGCCAGCAACACAAGATGTGGAAGGCACATCTAAAAATAATAATAACAAAAAGAAAGAGTTGCCCAAATAGAGTGGTGAGTTTGAGGAATTATGAGAGTCTAGACTCAAGCAAAAGTGGAGTTAAAAATCAGCAGGAGATGAATTTGGAAAGAAAGGCAGGGGCCAGATCACAATGAAACCTAAGTTTTATCCTATAAGCAGTGGGGAGTTACAAGATTTTAAGTAGTAATTGACAGTCTGCAGTAACTGGAACAGACAGAAACTCAGGGAAGCTATGTATATAATCAATTTGATCCTAGTCCCTTCATCTAAGAAAAATGACTCATATTTGTTTAAATCTATTTTTCCATTCATTTTATTTGGGATTGAGCAGTACACTATGATTTAAACACTCTAAGCTTTATTTTTTTCCCCTGGTATCTCTTCACATTTCAGTGCTAAACATGAAGATAAAAAAATGAAGGAAAAAGAGCCATGTGAATTGGACCCTAAAAACACAGAAAAGGAACCACATTCAAACCATGCTTTCAAGGTACTTTGATCAGGAGCATATGAGAGGGCAGGAGAGATACATGACTAAGGATATTAGCATGAAAAATCATAAGCTCTGCTCTTTTTCAATGCTGGCTATGTGGCATAAGCCAGATACGGGGTTAAACTACTAACAAAGTGTCACTTCCTTCTTTTATGGAGTGAGTTTGGGTTTCGGAAATTGCTCAATGTTATTTAGCATACATTAGGCGAATGAGGGGACTGCCTTCATTACAGGACTACACTGAAGGATGATGGTCACTGTATTTGTACAAAATATTGACTTCATTACTTTCTTGTCGCTTCCCCCATTTATACATTTAATTCTTGGTAATATGACTTAAAAGAATGCCTGTCCTCTTATTCTTCTGACAGTTTGCCCAAGATCCCACCCAAAACTCAGGATAATTCGCTCCTTGTATCTATTAATTACATTGCCTTTTCCCAAGTATTTTCAAATGTATTATCGTAGTCCATCCTCATGTCTACTCTGTTGTAGTCAGAAGGACAATACCCTTCTCTCATTTTCACTGGACAATTATAAAATACTTAGATTGCCAAAAATACTCTAATTTTTTCTCTCTTCAGGATCTCTTCCTGTCAGTCTATTCAGAGCATTTTGAAATGTAAATCTGATCGGGTTTTCCCCTGCCTGACTCCCAAAGGCCAAACTCTTTGCCTTGCATACAAAACTCTTCATAACTCAGCTCCATTCTCGTTTATTTTCTCCACCTCATCTCCAGGCTGCCTTTCCTTCTTTTTTCTTCAACTCTTCCCTTATCATCAGCCTCCTCGCTACCCTTATAAGGACATGAACACTTCCCCAAATCCCCTGTGCTATATCTTGTGCTGGTGTGTCTGCCAGATACTCCTTTATCCGCTCTATCAATCTCCTACTGATATTTGGAAAATACAGTTTAATAAAATCTGCTTTTCAAGGTCTTCTCTAACCCATCTCCCAGCCAAGAGAACCAACTTCTTCATCGTCTCTGTTTCCATGACAGTGAGCAATACTGCTGTAAATAACACTTATCACATTATACCCTAATTAATCATTTGCATGCATTATCTTCAAGACCAATGTATTAAGAAAGTCTGCCTCTACTTTTAGAGCTTAGCATGCTGTCTTGCCTTCAGTAAGTGCTTGAAAAATGCTAGAGAAAGGGAGCGAAGAAAGAAGTGACAGGGAACAGAAAAATGGTGAGTGGGAAGACAAAATGTAGGCAAAAAGAAGGAAATGAAAAGGAATACATAGCATCCCTTAGAACAAGGTTCTGGGGTCAAGACCTGCCTAAGTAGATTACTAACAGTGGAACCAGTGACCAGTTATTTAAACTTTCCAAACTCTTTATCGAGAGGACCGATGATACCTTTCTCATAGGGTATCATGATGATTAAGTTATATGGAATATAAAAACCCTGCCCTATAGTCAGTACACCCTATATCCTGACTGTTTCCTGCAAGCTGCCTCTGTGCCAGGCATTCATTGGACTGCAGAGTTAATGAAGAATATAGTATGCACCTTCAGGAAACTTACAGTCTAGTAAGATATTATTTTAATGTTGAATAAATGATAAATAATTGTTATCCCTGAGGAATGAATGGAAAACTGTACGATTAAGCAAAGAACTGATTAGGTAAGTCAGAACCCTACAGTACTCTTCCTTTTGCATATGTTTAGGCAGATGCCTATGAAGGGACACCTGAAAAACTCCAGATGACCAATGTCCACATGGGTAGAAGAAACATGTTGGCTGGAAAGCAGGAGGCCATGATTGACGTCATCCAGACAAATCCCTTCCCTGAGGGCCCGAGGTTGGCCAGGAACTCCCAAGGCCACTGTAAGTTGCATTTCTTCCTGATCCTCTTCATCATTACCAGTTTTTTTTTAAAGCTGAACATGACCAAAATTTTAATTTATTTTACCAATACTTATTGAACATCTATTATGTGCCAAGCAACTTGCCCTAGTGAGGGAGCTATGCAGTAGTGGAAAAAACACTGAATTTAAAAGCAGAAGTCTTGAGTTCAAATCTAACTGGTTAGTAAGCTGTGTAGTAAGTGACTTCATATACCTGCAGCTCAGTTTCTTCATTTATAAAAAGGGATCATCATAAGATGGACCTCACAGGGCTTTTATGAGGACCAAACCTGACAGTATGTCATATGACAGGTACTCAGCAAATGTTTATTCTTTTCTTTTTATATATACTAGCTTCCGTTGTCTAGGCTCACATCATTGACATGTACTGGTGATATACTATGGTATCATTTGTTGACTTTATTCGGGTTGCATTTTACCTTCATGTTAGTCAGGATCCTTGATTGCAAGCAACAGTAATCAAACTGTACTATGTTAAACACAAAAAGAAAAGGAGGTTCACCTAGCAGAAACTCTAGTCATGGTTGGATCCAGGGACACAGACAATATCCCAGTGACTTGGTATCACTTTTTCCACTCCTGGTTTTGCTACCCTTTCAGTTGATACTTCAACAGCACCGAAATGACCACAGTAATAGGATCTGGAGTAAAGCATTTCTATACTTACCCTGTAATCTTGGGAAATGCACTTACTTTCATGTGCAAGTTCCTAGGGATGTTTGTCAATGCATATAAAGTTTCTGGTTCATATGTTAAATAACTATTAGTCCTTTTCATTTATTTTATATTTTGAAAAATTATAGCATGCCTTACTTTATAATTCATGATTTATGTGTTATTCCCCCATGGCACACTGTGGGTACCTTGAAATCACAGACCATTTGGTATTTTTTTCTGTATCTCTGTAACCTGGCACAGTATTGGGCACACAGGAGAAACCCAAATTAATTTTGTAGAATGAAAGGATAAATCAAACTTCAGTGTCTAAAAATATGGTGGCCTAGAAAATATGAATGACTCTCTTAACTAAAAGTGAAGAATAAATTTTTTAAAACATTCATAAAAGTCTCACAGTACTGACTTATAAAGAAAGCACCCACAGGCCTGTAGTAGTCAGGAAAACAGGGAGGTGCATGCCAAAGCTAACTTTTGCCTTGATGGTTTTTGCTGAAATCCAAATCCCTAGTTACTTTTATCCTAAATTTCAAATAATACACTTAAACTATTCTTTAAAATATTAACAATTGATAGCCAAAAATAACCAAACACAAGGAAACAACTCACAATGAGGGAAAACCAGCAGAACAGATAGCATAACAAACCTACAAAATATTGCAGATATTAGAATTATCAGGTACAACACATAAAATATTTAATATGTTTTAAAAATAGAGGATAATATGAATAGGAAATAACCATATTTTTAAAATATTTTAAAAAATAATTGATAATTTGATAAAATGCAATGATTGTATTTTATATCACATTACTTACAGCTGAAGAAAATATTGGTGAACTGAAAGACAAATTTAAAGAAACTATTTAAAATTCATTCTACAGGGGAAAATGATTTCAAAAAAGAGTGTAAGAAAGGATAAAAGTCATGGAAGATAAAGTGAGAAGTCTTAAAATAGCAATAAAATCAGAATGTCATAAAAGGATACTGGGAAAATGAGAAAGAAGAAATAATAGGTAAAACAGATACTACCTGAGAATTTTCCAAAATTGTTGAGATAAATTTGCAAATCCAGGAACCCTAAAGTTCTCAAGAAATATAAAGAAAAGAAATCTAAACCTAGCCATTCAAAATGAAGAACATTAAAGAATACGAGAATATCTTTAAAGACCTTAAAAACAAGGGGAAAAAAATCAATCACCTACAAAAAGAAAAAAAACACAACTGAGTTCTGACTGTTAAGTTCTCAAGAGTGTATAACGAGAACACAATTTTGCTTAAAGAGATTAAATGTCTACCTGAAATTTTATTTCTCATGAAAATGTCTTTCAAACATGAAAGAAAAGTAAGATATTATCAGACAAATAAAAACTTGGATATTGTATTGACCAGATAAAATGCACTGAAGGAAATTCTAAAGCATGTGCTTCAGGCAGAAGGAAAATAATCACAGATAGAAAGTTTTGGAGGCAAGAAAAAAAAGCCAAAGCATTAACTAAACAAAATAATCTCAAATTGAAGAAGGACTAAAATATTATAAAATATTCAGCATTCTTAGTACTTATATTGAGGAGGTAATTAGTGTCCTAAGGTTGATAATTGTTTGGGAAGAGAGTAACAGTATTAATTTTCTTTAGCCTTGAAAGAGTTAGAGAAGCTAGGATATATTCATTAAAATATACCATTAAAAGAGTGAGAAGGCAACATCACACATCTACAACCATCTGATCTTTGACAAACCTGAAAAAAACAAGCAATGGGGAAAGTACTCCCTATTTAATAAATGGTGCTGGGAAAACTAGCTAGCCATATGCATAAAACAGAAACCAGACTCCTTCCTTACGCCTTATACAAAAATTAACTCAAGATGAATTAAAGACTTAAATGTAAAACCTTAAACAGTGAAAACCCTAGAAGAAAACCTAGGCAATACCATTCAGGACATAGGCATGGGCAAAGACTTCATGACTAAAACACCAAAAGCAATGGCAACAAAGACCAAAATTGACAAATGGGATCTAATTAAGCTAAAGAGCTTCTGCACAGCAAAAGAAACTATCATGAGAGTGAACAGGCAACCTTCAGAATGGGAGGAAGTTTTTACAATCTATTCATCTGACAAAGGTCTAATATCCAGAATCTGCAAGGAACTAAAACAAATTTACAAGAAAAAAACAAACCGTCAAAAAGTGGACCAAGCATATGAATAGACACTTCTCAAAAGAAGATATTTATGTGGCCAAAAAACATATGAAAAAAAGCTCATCATCACTGATCATTACAGAAATGCAAATCAAAACCACAATGAGATACCATCTCATGCCAGTTAGAATGGCGATTATTAAAAAGTCAGGAAACAGATGCTGGTGAGGCTGTGGAGAAATAGGAATGCTTTCACACTGTTGGTCAGAGTGTAAATTAGTTCAGCCATTATGGAAGACAGTGTGGTGATTCCTCAAGGATCTAGAATCAGAAATACCATTTGACTCAGCAATCCCATTACTGGTATATACCCAAAAGATTATAAATCGGTCTACTATAAAGACACATGCACATGTATATTTATTGCAGCACTATTTACAATAGCAAAGACTTGGAACCAGCCCATCAATGATAGACCGCATAAACAAAATGTGGCACATATACACCATGGAATACTATGCAGCCATAAAAAAGGGTGAGTTCACGTCCTTTGCAGGGACAGAGACGAAGCTGGAAGCCATCATTCTCAGCAAACTAACACAAGAACAGAAAACCAAACCCCACACTTTCTCACTCATAAGTGGGTGTTGAACAATGAGAAACACATGGACACAGGGAAGTGAACATCACATACTGGGGCCTGTTGGGGGTAGGAGGCAAGGGGACAGACAGCATTAGGACAAACACATAGTACATGCAGTGCTTGAAACCTAGACGAGTTGATATGTGCAGCAAACCACTATGGCACAACAAACCTGCTCATTCTGCACATGTGTCTCAGAACATAAAGTAAATTTTTAAAACATTTTTTTAAAAGAGTGAGAAGGCAAGTCACTGGGTAGGAGAAGATATTTGCATTATTTACATATATCATTTACATATCAAATATGTACATATTTGATAAAGGACTCATATTTTGAATATACATCTTCTACAAATGCTTGGTATTCAGAAAATATAAAGTAGAAGTCAATTTTTTTAAAAAAGAAATATAGTGAAATTAGAAAAATGCTGAACAGACCCTTCCCCAAAGAGACTGTCCTAAAGGTAAATACGCTATTAAAGTTCAACTTCTGCTCACCAAATTGGCTACATTAAAAAAAAAAATACTAAAAAAAATCAAGTGTTAGGATATGAAGCAACTAAAACTCTCATTCTCTGTGGAGACTGTAAGCTGGGACATTCATTTTGTAAACTGTTTGGCAGTACTAAAGTTGAACATATGCATATCCTCTCACCTATCAATTCCATACTTACATATATATCCCAATATAAGTGCATACTTTAATGCACCAAAACACACATACAAAATGTTCATAGCCAAACTTTATAACAGCCCCAAGCTGGAATCTGTCCAAATGCCCATCAAAAGTAGAATGGATAAATAAATGGTAACTTAATCACACAATAGAATAATGTCGTCGGAATAAGCCAATTAAAATGATTTGCAACAATATGGATAAATCTCACAAACATAATATTGAATGAAAATAGGTGACACCATAGAGCACATACGAAATTATTCCATTATAACATTCAAAAATAGGTACTGCTGGGATTAGAAGTCAGGATAGTGGTCACTCTTGTGGGTAACTATTAAAACATAACAAGTGAAAGAAACAAATAGAAAAGAAAACAGAATGGCAGAAAGAGAAGAAACTTTAGTCAGATGAAGATAAGAAAAAAATTAAAATATGTACTAAGATAGTAGATATAAATTTTAAAATATCAGTAAACACTAAAAGGTAATACACTACATTCACTAGTTAGAAAACACACACATTCAAATCATTTGAAATTCAAAAATATTAAGTGCTTTTTATATGCCCAGTACTGTTCTAGGAAATGTGGGTGTATAGCAGTAAACAGACAAAAATTCCTATTCTCATGGAGGTTACTTTCTGATCAGAGGAGACAGACAATAAGTAATAAAAGATCTATGTGGAATGGTATTAATAGTAAATATTATGAAAAAATAAAGCAAAGAAAGAGAATTAAGGAAGCAAGTGGAGGCGACAGAAGCTGCCATTTTTAAGTTCTCACAGATGACTTCAAAGACCTTAAGTAGTTGAGGAAGAGAGCCGTATGTGTATTTGGGATAAGAATGACCTTGGAAGAGAAAAAAAATTGCAAATCCCTGAGGCAGAAGTCTGCCAGATATGTGTGAGGAGCAGGAAGGAGGGCAGCGTGACTAGAACAGGGTGACTTAGAAATAGTATAGTAGGCGATGGGGTCACAGAAATAACAAGGGGCTCCTGTAGAACATTGCAAGAACCTTAGCACTGACCACAAATGAGATTTTTTAAACCACTGAAAGCTTTCGAAAGTCCAGGAAAGGCATGATCTGATTTGTATTTTTAAAAAATCATGTGGCTTCTGTCTTGAAAATAAAATGTAAGATAAATCAGAGAAACCAGTTAGGAGGTTATTGCAATAATTTAGGTGAGAAATGGTGGTAGCTTGGAGGAAGATACTGTGGTAGAGTTGTTGAGATGTGTTTGAAATTGGAATATAATTTGAAACTATAGTGGACAGATGGCTTTGGATTGGAAGTGAGAAATGAGAGAGAAATGAATCAAGGTTGTCTCCAAGGTTTTGGGCCTGAGCAACAGAAAGGATGGAATTGCCCCTTTTATGAAATTGAATAAATTTCAGGAAGAGCAAACTTGCAGAGGGAAATTATGAGTTTGGTTTGGAATGTAATATGTTTAGACAACCAAAAGGAAATAGTGTGAAGGCTGATAAAGTATCTGGAATTCATGAGAGACATCTAAATTGGAGATGTAAATTTGAGAGTTGTCAGTGTTTTTAAAATGAAGCCATAAACTTTTGCATTTGCTTCAGCCAAAAGGAAGCATCGAGGAAGGAAAAAAAAATGCTGCAGAATAGGAATTAAGCAACCGTGTGTTCAGCATCTTTGTTTTGTGTTGGAGAAATTTACTGATAACTCCTTGAGAAAAAGCAGGACCTTATGCCTCGAGAGCTGACATTCATTGAGATGGTTTGAGGCCTACATGCTAACTGATTCCTTGTCAGAGAATAAACTCTTATTGCTTGGTTCATTTAATAAATAGACACAAGTTAATTTGCTTATTATTTATTTCTCAAGTATATTACTTTCTATGTCTGATTAATAGTTCATGTCTGAATATGGCTATGAATTACCCATACCCTAAATATTAACCTATGCCAACAGATAAAGAGGTGGTAGTTTTATGGTTATGACAAGTTTACAACTCTGTGAAGTAAACCAGCATCTGCATTTAGCTACCTACTATAACTGGAGTTAGCCAGAAGACAGTATGCCAGGTTAACAAATTAATCCCTATACATTTGTTAACCTGGTATACGATGATCTTCTGGCTAACTCCAGAATGAATGAATGGATAATGTATATTGATATGTGCTCAATCAACTTGTCTGAGAAATTTTGCTTTAAGAAATGCCTTAAGACTGGATAAGATCATCTAGATGTAGAGAGATAAGCCCCAGGGATACACCCTGGTGGACTTCAAAGTTTGAGGTCAGTGATTAAAGAAAGAACCATAAAAAAACAGAGTTACTATTTACTGGGTAACCAGCACCCTTCGTAAATATGTATTTAATCCTTGCCAAAACTACATGATTCAATGTTAGCATCATTATCCTCTACTTCAGATAATCATAACTGAGGCTCTGCAAAGTTAAGTGGCTTGCCCAAGGATCATACATAGCAACATTGTAATCCAGCTTTAGCATATTTAATCTGCCTTTTCTTATGCTTGCCTCCATTGCCAGTGATATGTGTGAATGACCTTATGATGGCAGCTGATGAGATGTTCTTCAGGGGGGTTTCTTATTTCCTTTCAGGTGGGTATCTGGAGGTTTTGGAGTCAACTAAAGAAGCTTTAGACCTAGGGGTCTCTAAGCCAAGTTCCGTCTCGGAGGAGATATATGATGATGTCGAGTACCCCAGGAAAGAGGTGTAAGTACATTGCAGTCTTTCAGCAAGATGAATGTGATGAGACTTTAAAAGTACAAAAATGATCTTTGTTATTTTTTCCCATAGATCGAGGTTGAACTTCTCTAGCTCATTTGCCTCAAATAGTGGTAAGTATAGGAAGACATTTCTGATGCTCCCAGTAGGAATTGCAGAATGCTTCTATGGTTGATTAGTGATAAGATGCCTTTTACTTATTCATATTTTAATAATACCAATTGAAAAGGGTGATGGGAAGCTAAGAGAAGCGATACCGAGGTACGTGCTAATAAATGCATTTAGAATCAGAAACGTGAAGATGCTGGTAAGAGATTTGTATGGTAAAAGTGAACTTCCTTCCTTCCCGAACTTTTCGCAATGTAAGTCTGATTATGGGAATGCTTTTACTTAAAACACTGTCTTGGCTTTCCAATACTTTTAAAATTGGCTTCTAACATGATCTAGAGTCCTTGTCTAACCTAACCCTACAGACCTCTGGAGCCTCATCTCACACTATACTCAATTTTCATCCATGAGACCCAGTTTATGCTGACCTTCTTTTAGCTTCTATAATTTGCCAAGCTCCCACAGCAGGGTATTTTCATATGCTTCTCTCCTCCCTTTCTGAAACGCTGTTTCCTCCCCTGGGTCCCTTTGCATCACTGACTCTTAATCTTCTAATCTCAGCTCCATCATTATTCCCCAAGGGAATATTCTCTTTAGTACAATCTAATAGTACCATGGACTTCTTTTTCATAGTACTTGTCACAGCTGTAATTTTATACTTATATGACTTTTTGATTAATGTCTCCCCTCTTAGATTATTACCTTCTTTGGGCATACTATTTTCTCCAGCCCCTACCATAAGGCAAGATGCATGTTAGATATTCAAAAAAATCTGTTGAATGAATGAATTAATGAATGAAAAAGTAATGGGGAGGTGTTGGTCAAAGGACACAAAATTTCAATTAGGAGAAGCACCTTCAGGAGATTTGTAGTACAACACAGTGATTATAGTTAATAACATTATTATATACTTGAAATTTGCTGAGAGTAGATTTTAAAATTCTCACCACAAAAGTATGTGGGGTAATGAATATGTTAACTAGCTTAACTGAGTCATTCCACTATGTATACAATTATCAAAACATGCTATACATCATAAGTATACAATTATTATTTGTAAATGTAAAAATAGATTTAGAAAAAGAAAAAGCAATGGAGGAGAGAGAATCAAAGGTTACTCTGATTTATCTTCTTAGAATCCCAGAAGTTTAGAGGGGAAAACAACCTTAAACATCATTAAACCCAATACCCTCACTTTAAAAAGAAAATTGAGACACAGAGAAGTGACTCCTCTAAGTTCATTGTGTGTTAAAATCGAGTTTTGAATCTGAAAATCCTGACCCTTAATTCAATGTTCTTTCCTTTAGACTCTGTTTTAGGATTTAATTAAAGTATATCTGTGTAGCTTATGCATTTGGCTAGGCCAAAGCCATGCTGTGAAGGGAGAGATTGTTCAAGATGTATCTTGTTTTGCATGGTTTACCCAGCATTCGGCGCAATGCCTGATGCTTAGTAAATTCTGATTGTTATGTATTAAATGTAGGAAGGAGGTTGGGAGAGAGGGAGGAAGGAATCTATTGAAGAACTAACTTTCTTTGACTAAATCATTTCAAACTTGGAATTAGGTGGAGATGAGTCTTAATTTTTATTTATATATACTTTTATAGAGGTTTAAGTATTTGTACTATACGCTTTTAAAAACAGTGGGTTTCAGTAAAAACTACTTAACAAAAGAAAGATCAAAGTACATAGCATCTAGTAAGTATCTAATAATCTTTGTTAAATATGAATCTGAACTACTGCTATGATAATGAATATAAGTAGGGTTTTCTTTTAATTTCAGAAGAAAATAGAGAGGAAATGTATGAAGATGTCTACAAAACAAAGAACAACTACCCAAAGATAGAGTGAGTTTCTCTCTTTCTTGCCTTTGTAGGCTAATGATACTTCCTGTTAGTCTAGTAAAGCTAGTTGTAAGCAAGGAACCCCTCCAACCCATTGCCACCCCTGACTCCCATCATCATCTTTTAGGAAAGATTTACACTGAAAGTAATGATAACCTATTGTAATACTCCATTGTGATCAAGAGAATACGTGTAATTGTGTTCAACATATACTATACCTATTAAATCACATTGTTCTCTCTTTTGAGAAATACCCATTTCCCAGAGTAAAGGATTTTGATATTGGGTTAGCAAATAAATAACAAAAGAGAAGTAAATATTAATAAAACTTGCTTGAATTCTGTAGCAGCTTTTCCAGGAACAAATCAACGGTTATGACTTACCTCTCTCTTTGTAAGTGAGGAAGGCTAACTGTGGGATTTGGGCTTCATATAACATGTAGTGATTCAGTGTTATCAAGAATAAAATTTGTTCAAACGGGTATTATTTGACAAGTTTAGTTATTAAGGACATGTTGTGAAAAGGAAAAGAGCAATGGTCAAAAGCTAGGAGTTTAAGGGTTCAAGTGGATAAAGGAGACTGAACTGGGCATGTGGGTTGGCATGATGTGGGTATATCATTCCCTCACCCTATCCCCCTAAAAGCCCTAAAAGGATATTTGACAGGATTGTAATCATCAGCTGAGTAATCAATGTATCACCATTGCTGTATTATTCAGTACGTTAAAAATCAATAAGAATTTCAAGAGCCAGGATTTTCTACAGTTTTACAGTTTGTAAACTACATTTCCCTGAGTTATCTTTTTCTTTCAAGGGAAGACGGCTTCATAAAATCTGCAAAATAGAGACTACAAGACTACTTGGGGTAGTTTGTCTTGAAATATAATTACTCCCTTCATAGTTGACTGGTGTGTGCAATTTCATATCACATCGAAACAAAGAAGAAAAGCATAGAATTCAATAAGGCATTTTCTTGCTCTTTCTTGAGTGGGATGGATGTGTTTGGGACATGAAACCAAAGCCTCTGGTTCTTATTTTATAGACTCGGGGGTACATGTGCAGGTTTGACACATTGATATATTGCCTAATGCTGATGTTTGGGCTTCTAGTGAACCCATTACCCAAATAGTGAACATTGTACTCAATAGGTAACCTTCCAACCTTCATTCTTCCTTCCACACTCCCCCTTTTTGGAGTCCCCAGTGTCTGTTATTTCCGTCTTTATGTCCATGCATACCTATTGTTTAGCTCCCACTTACAAGTGAGAACATGCAGCATTTGATTTTATAATACAACAGCCTTCTATCTCTAGTACTCTCTTAAACGCCATGTTATTTATATCCTCTGATTCCTCTTAGTTTAGATGGAAAAGAAGCACTGAAAAGACTGCAGCAATTCTTTAAGAAAGAAAAGGATAGATTTAAAATAAAGAAAACCAAGTCAAAAGAAAACTTAAGGTAAGAAGTCCCTGTAAATCTCTTCCTGTGGGGAGATTAACCTGTAGAAACACAGGCTGATGTTCTCCAACCGATCTCAGAAATAGTGAAGGGTATATCAGAAACTAAAACCAAGGGCCTGGCCATCACTTGCCCCTTTCTTGTGAATTTTTGTTTGAGCTACACCCACAGAAATGAATTAATGAGAAAGTGGCATACCCGTTTGAAAACGTGAAGGAGAAAAGCTTGAAAATGAGGGTAGAGGGAAAATCTTAAGCAAAGTCCAGAAAGGAAACTTTTCTCAGCATCCTTACCATCCTATTCCTGTTGTTACCACTAAGCATTATGTTGCTTATCATGTCCTTTTATGCTTTTTGGGCCCTACAAGTCCCAGTAGTTTTTATCTGTCTACTGTTCCATATTTAATTAATCTCCCTTGAGAGCAGCAATATGTGGAAGGGGGAGATGAACTGCTCAGCTGAACAGTTCGTGTATTACAAAGTCTTAGACCCTCTGAGATAACCTAGGCTGACTGCCAGTTTTGGGAGAGGTTCCAAATTCACTAGCACTAGAAAGAGATGTGAGAGAGGAGCTGGATTCTAGATTCTAGTACCAGTTCTGCCATTTATTCCATGTGCAACCATGGGCATATCACTTCCTTTTTACACCCACAGTGTTCCAGTTGTTTCCTGCATATAATGGAAGGGGGACTCTGGAGACACTTTGCGGGCAATAGACAAGATATAGATGTAGATATTCAGGTGCTCCTCAATTTATGATGCAGATATGTCCCAAGAAACTCATTGCAATTCCAAAATATGTTAAGTTAAAAGTGCATTTAATACATCTACCAAACATCATAGCTTAACCTAACCCATCTTAAACATGCCCAGAATACTTACATCAGCCTACAGTTGGGCAAAATCATCCAACACAAAGCCTGCCTGTAATAAAGTGTTGACTGTCTCTGTAATTTATTGAATATTGTACTGAAAGTGGAAACAGAATGGTCTTAAGAGTACTCAGAGTAGGTTTCTGCTGAATGCATGTTACGTTCACACCATTGTAAAGTAGCAAATCGCGTCAGACCATTGTAAGGCAGGGAACATCAGTGTAGATGTACAGATACAGAGATGTATTTTGTGAGGGCAGAAGATGGTAAAATAATTTGCCCAAGGTCATTACCTATAGTGAGATGGAATTATGTTGTTCTACCCTGAAGTTCTTTTTGAATACAAAGTTCAGAGTTTTGTGATTTTTTTTTTTTTTTTTTTTTTTTTTTTGATACTGAGTTTCACTCTTATTGCCCAGGCTGGAGTAAAATGGTATGATCTCGGCTCACCGCAACCTCTGCCTCCCAGGTTCAAGCAATTCTCCTGCCTCAGCCTTCCAAGTAGCTGGGACTACAGGCATGCACCACCACGCCCGGCTAATTTTTGTATTTTTTTAGTGGAGACACAGCTTCTCCATGTTAGTCACGCTGGTCTTGAACTCCTGACCTCAGGTGATCTGCCCACCTCAGCCTCCCAAAGTGCTGGGATTACAGGCGTGAGCCACTGCGCTCGGCCGAGTTTTGTGATTTTAAGTCCAATTGTAGGTTGGATCTAGATCTACCAAGAGATCCAACAGAACATGAGGCTTATAAATTGTAGTCCTGACTATGAAAGAAGAGAGAGTTTACTTCCTGTGGGCAACGAGACCCTATGCACAAAGGCAGACCCTGGCCTTAGCAGATTAGATGTTTTCTGAGAGAAAATTATTGGCATGATAACCTGCAGTCCCATAATATTTGATCCAGATGAGAATGCTAATGTTTTTAAGATGCAAATCTGATTACCTTTTTCTCAAAACTATTCATTGGCTCCATAAAACATTTAGAACAAATATCCAGTTCCTTACCAAGGCAAGTAAATACTTCATGGCTATCCCCATTCTACTTCTCTAGTTCTGTCTCTCACTAAAATTAACTCACTACCGCCCCATCCACATAGCCTATAGAGCTTAGACTCTGCCCTGGTGTCTCATTCCTCCATGCTTTGAACATGGCATTCCCTTGGTCTTAAATGTACCTGTCCTCCTCCAGCCTTTTATTCTCAAAGTTCTAGTTTTCCCTCAAAATTTGATCAAATATTATCCCTTCTTGAATGCCTTCCCTGAACTTCTCTTCCCAAACCTGGATTACCTATGTTTCCTTTGTGTTTTGTGTTCCCATAACATCCTGTGCACACCTTGTGACATCTGTTAATATCAGAGAAACCATTTTCCTTGGAGTAAGAGAATCCCAGGGCAAGAAGGGAAATCCAGTGTCATCAATATGTTACTTGAGATATGTCAGCTCATCTTTCTGAACATGGCTTTTTTCCCTTAACTCTTTTTTGTCTTTTGTCAATCAACAGTGCATTTTCCATTTTGCTGCCTGATTTAGGTAAGTGCCATTTGCTTATTGTTGACCAAAAGTACTCAGCTTTTGTATATTCAGAGGCAGGGAAAAAGAAATGGTAACCCTTCCTGCATTTCCACATTTGATGAAAAATTGATCTACCAAAACCAAGGAAGATGTTTCACACAGCAGTATTTTTCTTATACTTTGGAGAAAAAATATTTTACTATATTTCATGCCCTGGGACAGATGTGTTGCTCTTAAAATCCTAGAAAAATAAATATTATAATCCCTTTTCAGAGAAGCTATAGGACCTACATCCATATTTAAGTAATCCAGAATTTGTATTCCAGTCTCTCTATGAAACTCATGCATTTTGCATTCTATCATACTGCCTTTTGAAGGAATTGACATCCTTCATCCTAATTAAGACACTATACGTTGAATATGATCACATTGCCACCAGCAAACTAATTGAATCGAGAATCGGTCATTGGAATATTGTTTGCTTTTCCATTAAAACAATAGTGCATAAATTAGCACAGTTCTTGATACTTAGTAGGCTGTCAAAACACATTCAGGGTATTGAATTTGTCAGTAAAAGAGGGTCATGTGTTTTGTTGTTTGTTAATTTTTGTTTAGGGGCTCTAGCCTGTGGCTACCTGGATGTCACTCGAACTTGACAATTCAAATATATATTTCATAAATATGAGTTTGCTAAACTAAAAAAAAATGATGATTATATACACCTGTTAAAATCCCATGTCTCAACATATCCTTTGTCTGTGTTTAAAAGAAAAAAAGCTGACCTAGGATAGACATGCATTTTATACCCACCCACATTTAAAGGTACTTAATAAAATAAGGAAGTGAATAATGATACCAGAAGGTATCAAATTTGTTCAGTGGTAAATCACCTGAAAATCATGTAATTCTATGTAGAGTGCCAAGGAATGTGAATATCCTAAACTGAAAATGTCTAATTATTATTATGCACTAAGTCAGATGCAACATTATGCAAGATTATTGTAAAGGAGCAATTGCCAATGATTTGAAATTAAAACCATGGAAGAAAAATCAACATTACTATTTTGTTAAGCTGTTCCCCTCCCTCCACTGGAGTTAAGAAAAGACCTCTCACCTTTCTAGCAGCATAGCGTATTTGTCCAATTCCAGAAAGATGGGAACCTAAGCCAGGCACGGTGGCTCACACTTGTGATCCCAGAACTTTGAGAGGCCGAGGCGGGCGGATCACCTGAGGTCAGGAGTTGAAGACCAGCCTGGCCAACATGGTGAAACCGTCTCTACTAAAAATGCAAAAATTAGGCAGCTATGGCGGCAGGTGCCTGTAATCCCGGCTACTTAGGAGGCTGAGGCAGGAGAATCGCTTGAACCCGAGAGGCAGAGGTTGCAGTGAACCGACAAGATCCCACCATTGCATTCCAGCCTGGGGGACAAGAGTAAGACTTTGTCAGAAAGAAAGAGAGAAAGAGAGAGAGAGAAGAAAGAAAGAGAAAAGAAAGATGGGAACCTAGTCTAAAAATGAGTCTTTGAGCAACTCATATTTTTTTGGAACTCTATGTGAAATCAAATTAATATAAATATATGTTTTGAGATACTGAGACATTACACTATTTTTTTTAATCTTTCAGTTGAATTTCTTCCCAAATAGAGAATATTTTTCTGTATTCTTCTAGCCTATCTATATTCTGTGATCAGATTTTGCTAAAACAGACCTGAAGATGCACCCAGATAATTAAGTAATTGAGTATAATTTGGAAAGTCAGTGATTACATAAACCATGCTTAATAATAGACTATTTTGATCCTGTCTTGACCCTAGAACTTAGGTCTCAGGAAGTTATTAACTATGATGATGTGGACCTGAGTGAAAAAGAGTCAAAGTAAGTCAATTTACTTTATTGGTCATCCCTGCTGATATTTGACCCATTTCCTGATGCTTTCTTAATTATGATCACAGAACCATCTTTTCAGATCGTTGGAGATAAGTCAACTTGAGATAGTCTTCTCACTAAGAGGGGAAAAATTGGAAACATAGATGATCCAACAGTGGTAGGGGATTCAAAAGGCATTGGAGATTTTGAGTCTGTTTCTGTTTTTTTATCTTTGAATTTAGACTTGAAATTCTGTTCAACACATTTATTTAATTATCTCCAGTGTACACAACAACATGGAGGATAGCAAGCACTATTTGACAGAACCTCTGTATTCAAGGACTAACAACTATAATTTATCAAAAAAGATGGCCAGATGCAGTGGCTCATGCCTGTAATCCCAGCACCTGGAGAGGCTGAGGCAGGTGGATTACCTGAGTCTAGAAGTTCAAGACCAGGCTGGGCAACCTGGTAAAATCCCATCTCTACTAAAAATACAAAAAACTAGCCAGGCATAGTGGTGCATGCCTATAGTCCCAGCTATTCAGGAGACTGAGGGGGGAGGATAGCTTGAGCCTTCCAGGTGAAAGTTGTAGTGAGCTGAGCTCACACCACTAGACTCCAGCCGGGGCAATGGAACCTGCGCAATGGAGCCAGGCCCTGTTTTTTTGTTTTGTTTTTTCTTTAAAAAGCCATCCTTAAGCCCCTTCTCCAGTCACTTGTTATTTATACCTTTTCTCTTAACCAACTGGTTAAAAATAAAAGTCTCCTCTGCTCAGGTATGGTTCATCTTTCCGTGCTCACTGCAGTTAGGTTTCCTATTATACCATTTAACTTATTTTTGGTAAGGTCACTAATAACTCCTTTGTTAAATCTAATGAATACTGTTAAGTCCTTATATTATTTGTCTTCTCTGTATCTTAAACTGTGAACTATGCCATCCTCCAAAGGAAAAAAAGTACTTCTGTAGGTTCCCATGTTTTTGTTATCTCTTTGTTATTTGATGTTATTTTTAAGTTGACATATAATAATTGTACATATTTTTCAGGTACATAGTGATGTTTTCATACATAAAATGTATAGTGATCAGATCAGGGTAATTAGCATATCCATCATCAAACATTTATCATTTCTTTGTGTTGAGAATATTCAATATCCTCCTTCTAGCTATTTGAGACCACATAATATATTATTGTTAACTGTAGTTATCTTACGGTAGTTGGATTAGTCCATTTATATACTGCTATAAAGAAATATCTAAGAAATACACTGCTATAAAGAAATACCTAATAACAATATGTTATTGTTAACTGTAGTTATCTTAGGGTAGTTGGATTAGTCCATTTATACACTGCTATAAAGAAATACCTAATAATTAATAAAGGAAAGAGGTTTAATTGATTCACAGTTCTGCATGTCTGGGGAGGCCTCAGGAAACTTACAATCATGGCAGAAAGGGAAGAGGCGCATCTTATATGGCAGTGGATGAGAGAGAAAAGAGAGTGACGGGGAGAAGAACCCTTTATGAAGCCATAAGCGCTCATGAGAACTCATTCACCATCATGAGAATACCATGGAGAAAACAGCCCCCATGATCCAGTCACCTCCCTCCATAGATATGTGGGGATTACAATTTAAGGTGTGATTTAGGTGGGGACACAAAGCCTAACCATATCAGGGGTATAGAACACTAGAACATATTCCTCATATTTCACTGTATATTGTATCCCACAGATCTCTCCCTATTCCCTACTTTCCCAGCCTTTAGCATCCTCTGTTCTACTCTTTAATTCTAGGAGAGCAAACTTTTAGCTTCCATATATGAGTGAGAACATGTCATGCTTACTTTCTATTCCTGGCTTATTTCACTTAACATAATGTCCTCTAGTTCTATCCGTGTTGCTGCGAATGACATTATTTCATTATTTTTTATGGCTGAGTAGTGCTCTGCCATATGTATGTCACATTTTCTCTACCATTCATTTGATGTGGGATACCTAAGTTGATTCCATATGTTGGCTATTGCATATAGTACTGCAATAAACATGGGAGCATAGATGTCACTTTGATAAAATGATCTCATTTCCTTTGGATTAATACCCAGCAATGGAACTGCTGGATCACAGGGTAGATTGCAGTTTCTTAGGAACCTCCATACTGTTATCCATAGGTGTGGTACTACTTCATATTCCCACTAAGAATGAAGAAGAGTTTCCTATTCTCCACATCTGTGCTAGTATGTGTTATTTTTTGTCTTTTTGATGACCACCATCCTAACAGGGATGAAATGATACCTCATTGTGGTTTTGATTTGCATTTCCCTGGTGATTAGTGATGTTGAACATTTTAAAATATGTTTATTGGTCATTTTAATGCCACCTTTTGAGACATGTCTGTTCATTTGCCCATTTTTAATTGCATTTTTTTTCTGTTAAGCTGTTTGAGTTCCTTGTATATTCTGGGCATTAATCACCTGTCAGATTAATAGTTTGTAAATATTTTCTTCCATTCTGTAAGTTGTTTTTGCACTCTGTTGTTTCTTTTACTGTGCAGAAGCTTCTTATATTGCTATAATCCCATTTGTTCATTTTTGCTTTTGTTACCTGTGCTATTGGATCTTAGTCAAAAAATATTTTCCTAGACCAAATGCCCTGAAGTGTTTCCCCTATGTTTTCTTCTAATAGTTGTATAGGTTTGGGTCTTTTTTTTTTCCCATTTATTTATTTTATTGCATTTTAGGTTTTGGGGTACATGTGAGGAACATGCAAATTTGTTGCATAGGAACACACGTGGCAGTGTGATTTGCTGCCTTCCTCCCCATCACCTACATCTGGCATTTCTCCCCTTGCTATCTCTCCCCAGCTTCCCACCCCCCACCATCCCTCCCCTATTTCCCCCCAACTGACCCCAGTGTGTAGTGCTCCCCTCCTTGTGTCCATGTGTTCTCATTGTTCAACACCCGCCTATGAGTGAGAACATGCGGTGTTTGATCTTCTGCTCTTGTGTCAGTTTGCTGAGAATGATGGTTTCCAGGTTCATCCATGTCCCTACAAAGGACCCAAACTCATCGTTTTTGATGGCTGCATAATATTCCATGGTGTATATGTGCCACATTTTCCCTATCCAGTCTATCATCGATGGGCATTTGGGTTGGTTCCAGGTCTTTGCTATTGTAAACAGTGCTGCAATGAACATTCGTGTGCACGTGTCCTTATAGTAGAATGATTTGTAATCCTTTGGATATATACCCAGTAATGGGATTGCTGGGTCAAATGGAATTTCTATTTCTAGGTCCTTGAGGAATCGTCACACTGTCTTCCACAATGGTTGAACTAATTTACACTCCCACCAACAGTGTAAAAGTGTTCCTATTTCTCCACATCCTCTCCAGCATCTGTTGTCTCCAGATTTTTTAATGATCGCCATTCTAACTGGCGTGAGATGGTATCTCAATGTAGTTTTGATTTGCATTTCTCTGATGACCAGTGATGATGAGCATTTTTTCATATGTTTGTTGGCCTCACGTATGTCTTCTTTTGTAAAGTGTCTGTTCATATCCTTTGCCCACTTTTGAATGGGCTTGTTAGTTTTTTTCTTGTAAATCTGTTTTAGTTCTTTGTAAATTTTAGATATCAGCCCTTTGTCAGATGGGTAAACTGCAAAATTTTTTTCCCAATCTGTTGGTTGCCGATTCACTCTAATGATTGTTTCTTTTGCTGTGCAGAAGCTGTGGAGTTTGATTAGGTCCCATTTGTCTATTTTGGCTTTTGTTGTCAAAGCTTTTGGTGTTTTGGTCATGAAGTCCTTGTCTACACCTACGTCCTGAATGGTTTTGCCTAGATTTTCTTCTAGGGTTTTTATGGTGTTAGGTCTTATGTTTAAGTCTTTAATCCATCTGGAGTTAATTTTAGTGTAAGGTGTCAGGAAGGGGTCCAGTTTCTGCTTTCTGCACATGGCTAGCCAACTTTCCCAACACCATTTACTGAACAGGGAATCCTTTCCCCATTGCTTGTTTTTGTCTGCTTTGTCAAAGATCAGGTGGTTGTAGATACGTTGTGTTGCCTCCGAGACCTCTGTTCTGTTCCATTGGTCTATATCTCTGTTTTGGTACCAGTACCATGCTGTTTTGATTACTGTAGCCATGTAGTATAGTTTGAAGTCTGGTAGTGTGATGCCCCCCGCTTTGTTCTTTTTGCTTAGAATTGACTTGGCTATGCGGGCTCTCTTTTGGTTCCATATGAAGTTTAAGGTGTTTTTTTCCAGTTCTGCAAAGAAGGTCATTGGTAGCTTGATGGGGATAGCATTGAATCTGTAAATTACTTTGGGCAGTTTTGGGTCTTACATTTAAAGTCTTTGATCTATTTTTGTTTGATTTTTCTATGGGGTAAGAGATGGGGGGGAAATCCAGTTTTATTCTTCTGTATATAGATATCCAGTTTTCCCAGCACCATGTATTGAAAAGACTGTTCTTCCCCAACTGAGTCTTCTTGGTGTCTTGGACATAAAGCAGGTGGCTGTAGATACATGGATTAACTTCTGGGTTCTCTATCCTGTTCCATTGGTTTATGTGTCTGTTTTATGCCAATACCATACTGTTTTGGTTACTAGAGCTTTGTAAAATATTTTGAAGTCTGGTACTGTACTGTATACAGATTTGTTCTTTTGCTCAAAATTGCTTCAGCTATTTGGGGTCTTTTGTGATTCCAACAAATTTTAAGATTGTGTTTTCTATTTCTGTGAAGAGTGGCGTTGGCATTTTGTTGGGGATTGCATTGAATCTGTTGACTGTCTTGGGTAGAATGGTCATTTTAACAATATTAATTCTTCCAATCTATGAACATGAGATGTCCTTCCATTTGTTTATGTCATCCACAGTTGATTTCATCAGTTTTTTGTCATTTTCTTTGTAGAGGTCTTTCACCTCCTTGGCTAAATTATTCCTATTTTTTTTGTAGCTATTATAAACTAGATTTCCGTCTTGATCTCTTTTTCAGCTAGTTCATTGTTCA